AATCGGGAGTCTCCCGCGAAAATCGGGAGGGTTGACAAGTATGCTTCAGAGACAGTACATTATTTCAAAAATAAAAGCGTTTTGTGTAGCAGTAACACCAATGACGTAATCTTGGGTGACTGACATTTATTTGATATTATTAATAATAATTTGCGTTTTTTTTTTACCATTTCAGTGTTATATTTAATGCTTGTAATGTTATGTAAATATAAATTAGATTTATTTATTGAAAAAATTAAAACTATAGGCTTCACTTCCATGTATGATCAAAGTGACAAGGCAGTTCCTTGAACTTGGCATTTTGAATAAATTGCAATTTATGTATAAAACCATTTTTTATTTATTTTGTATCTAGTACCATTGCAAAGACAATCTCTATTTATTCAACATATATAATGAATGTGAGTATTAGGTCAACGTCATGTATTTTGGTGTCTGCAAAAGTAAGTGACAGTACTTCCACCTTTTCTGTAGAATGACCCAGCTACTGTTGCTACGCAAAGCCTACATGCAGTTTCCAATGGTAATGGTGGCACGCTTGCGGAATTTACTTAATTCTATTTACTCAAGGTTCACTTGTGGTTTCGTTCAGGACACAATCAGCTACCTGGGTGAAGGTCCCATGTTGATTTGACCCATTCATCAACCCCAACATGCAACTTTGATGTGTATTCTGTTTAAGGGTCTTCCTCCTTTGCTTGTACTGTTGGGGTTGATGAATGGGTCAAATCAACATGGGACCTTCACCCAGGTANAGGATTTATGAGATTTCATGCAAAATACTCAAATCAAATGCGCCCAATTTACTTTCTCCAACGTGTATTCAAAAGGAGTAGAGGAGGGTGCCCACTCATAAATTAATTGTAACCTTTTCAAGCTGACCCAGCAAAACATACTTTATAGTGCATTGAATTCTGCAAAGACAATACAAACAACTTCTCTCTTTTGCTCACGCAACTGCGTGGCGTTTATTACCAACAACAAAAAGGAAAGGCAATCAGATTGTTGGATAAAACATTGCTCATTAGCATATAGAAATGACACATTACAAATATTGCTGATGATCCCAGTGTTAGGATCTTGAGCATCCCACCCTGAAACGTGCACAGAACATTGTGCATGGCAAATCATGCACTTTACAACTGCACTTCTTGGAGTTGCAAGGGGTCTCACTCTTGCAGCCACACCTGATCATCTCCTAAATGTAATCTGGGACACGTTTGGCATCTTCCGGGTTGGGATCAGTGACCTGTTACGCGTATCTTTTTTCCATCCAAATTCCTCCGGGTTTAGTGCTGGCAGCAGGTTTGCATTGAGATTTCGCCACAACATTGCCTGAAAGTGGGCCCTCTTAACATTCTTAATGAAGGCTTCATTTGTTGGTGGTAGAGCAGCAAGGT